CTTGTTTAGGGTTAATATGATTATAATTCAAGTGATCGCCAATAATAGTTTGTTTGTGCATTATATTCAACCAACATAGATTTAACAGGTTTAGGTTTAATTCTATTGATTGTATGTTAGTCAGAAAGCGCACATGAATACGATCAGAATAAAGTAGAGGCCTATTATTAGGGCAGGTTCAATCTCTTTAAGGTTGGATTTGTACCTTCATCCCCGAACCCTATTTGGTTCAAGACCTTAAAGAGTTGACGATCTCTTGGATCGTTAAGGGGTGTAACCTTCACCTCGTGAACGGTTTACAAGTTCCTAAAAAACTTGTTGGCGACTCTTTTGCTCTATCTTCTTTCCCTTTGGACGCCACCGTACTTTAGTGTATGATCACAGTGGGGTTCAAGTTAGGGGATTAATGCTTGAAATATTCCCTACAGGGACCAAACCTCAGAAATATCAAACCTTTCATGTCTAGGGCAAAGGCAACTTTGAACTTAGCTAGGTATTTCTAGGTCTTGTGAATGCGGAATTTTTTATGCAAAAGGGTTGGTTTAGAAAGAGAGAGAAAGAAAGCTTTAGCTTTGAGAGAGAAGAGAATAGAGAATTCTTGAGAATTGATGATGAAGAACGGAGTTTTTAGAAGGCTATTTATAGAGAAAATCAACCAAAAAGATAGAAAAACAAACTAGAGTTTCGACGTAAAAAAACGAAGCTAGCGCCAGACGCTGACATTAGCGCCAGACACTAACGCTAGCGTCAGGTGCCAGGCTTAGCGCCAGGCACTAATCAAATTTTTTAACGCGTTTTCTAAATTCAGATAAAATTTGACCGTACAACAGGATAAAATCGTATTTTCCTTAAAAACACTCTTTTATTCTGATTAAAACTCTAAAAAGTCAACAAAAGTCAATTTATCAATGCTAATTGAATTAAGAATGAAAAGAACCTTCTAGAAGAATCTAGAAGACTAAAACCACTCCTAATTGCATTAGGAATTATAAATCCATATTAGGCCCTCCACTAGATCATTGGGCCGCATATAAGGCTCAAACCGGGCCCAGTTTAGTAATTTGGCCAAAACTTCCTCATTATTCATCGGAATTAGGCTTATAATATAGGAAAAATTGATGGGAATAATCCCACCTTTGGTGCGTTGAATTTTAATAATCCCACCTTTGGGTTTTTATTAATAATCCGACCTTTACCCCCCGATCTTTTTTAACACTCTTTACAGGTTACTTCACTTACTGTTGCCGGTTTTAGTCCTACGTGGCTTCCAACGGTTATATTATTTTAAATTTTTTGTTTAATTCTTTTTTTAAATGCCATGTCCTTTAAATGCTCGATCTTGTTCTTCTTCTTTCTCTGTCTGTTAAAAAACATTTAACTCCATTGTTGCTCTCAGCTTCCAATTTCAAATCCCTCTCTTCTCTCTGGAAATAAAAACAATGAATAATACGCGTGAAATTGGTTCTGCTTCAAGTTCGTCAAGGTCGTTTGGTTCTGCTTACCCAAAAATTAAGTGCAGATGCGGGGTGGAAGCTATAATTCAAACTGTGAGGAATGGTGATAACGCAGGTATGAAGTTCTATGGATGCTCAAAATGGCATGTAAGTGTTATTTTAACATTCAATTTTGTGATTAAACTTGCTAATTTGTTGTAACAAAATTGAATTGGCTAAATCAAATTAGGGTTTGAAAGGCAATTAATTTAGGGGTTTAATTGATTCTATTTCTGGAGGGTGATTGTGGATTCTTTCAGTGGGTTAATGTTAACCCTAAGGACCTAGAAGATCTACGATTCCTGGTTTTTGAGAGAGATACCCAAGTTGCTGAAAAGGAGATTGAAATAGACTTCATGAAGGAGCAACTGAGGAAATTGGAGAAGAATTTGGGAATTAAGGAGGATGAGTTGAATGATACAAAAATGGAGCTTTGCCACACTAGAATTGAACTGATGAAGGCTTCAAGGAATGAAAAAAATTTCTCCATTGCTTTGTTAATGTCTTGGATTTTCTTTGATTTTCTTTTGGTGTATTTGAAGCCATGACAGTGATGTTGTTAGAGTGTATTAGTTTAGGTTGTTAGAGTGTATTAGTTTAGGTTGTTATAGTGTATTAGTTTAGGTTGACTTGTATAGTGAAAGAACATGATGCTAATGCAAGATATGTACCAATGATTTAATGAATAAAAAGTAGGTACTTTGACTAGCATTTGGTTACAAATTCAGAACAAATGAACACATTAAGGATAGTTGTTATATTGAACATAATAAGTTGAAATTGTTTTGTCCAAAAACACAAAAAGAACCATGCAATGGTTCATGCCATGACATTGTAATAGGAAAATTTACTTAAAGCCAACATGCCTAAAAGACTGTTTTTAAAAGCTGACTTTAACAAACTATTGCCTAAACACTAAAATATCTTGTTACACCAAAAGTTAGGTACAATCATGGCATTTCATAGGTAACTACTGAGTTGGTTGATGTAAGGTGGAGCCTTGACTTCCTTGACTGCACTGGAACCAATCCATTGTTGACCTTCCTCTTCTCTGGTTACCTTGGTTCTGTTTAAAAAAAATGACATCAGTTGCAAGCAAAAGCTACATAAACACAAAATTCCACCCTAATTTCACTTACACTAGTTAGTGCAGATCCATCTTATGCAATGTAAACACCAACACCTTGTGGAACTTGGTGCCTTCCTCTGCCCCTACCCCTTGTCCTACCCCTCCCCTTCCACTAGCATCTGCACCCCTTCCCCTTCCTGCAGCAGCATCAGAACTTATTCCCCTTCCCCTTCCTACAGCTTCTGAACCCCTCCCCCTTCCTACAGCATCAGAACCTCATCCCCTTCCTGCATTGGCTGCAGCAACTCCAGCACCCCTGCCACCCCTTGAACCCCTCCCCATGAACACTGTTCTTCCTCCTCTACCAAGTATGGTAGGTTGTGCAGTCATGGAGTGGTGTGCTATAGCTTGAGAAGCTTGGACTGATGATATTGTAGTTTGAGCTGCAGACGCAGTTGGATTTGGAGTAATTGCAGCATGGTCAGCATCCTTCTTTGGCCTCCTATAGGCATCGCTCAAAGTGCGCCAACGTAAAAGCATGTTGTGAATATGCTTGAAACTCTTAGGAAGTGGGAATTGACATATCTATTAGGGACAACGAAAGTAGGGAGCCGCCAACAAGTTTTTAAGGAACTTGTAAACCGTTCACGAATCATAAAAGGCAACCACGATTAAGGGACAACGATAGGCAACAACGATTGACCCGTGAAGGTTACACCCCATTCATAATCCATGAGATTACTAAATCCATATGGTTCGAAACCACGAAAGGAGGATTGGGGATGATGCTAAGAAGTGAGTCATGGAGTCACATTCGCCCGTATTGGCCTTTACTCGATTCTTATAGTGAAAAGTGATTCCTGCGATCTCAAAGGCATACAAACAAAAATTCAATTTGCTCCAAACTATTATTATGCTAAATTGGTTGAATATTAATGCAACACATAATTCTAAAATATTTGTGATCACTTTACTTAAAAACAAGATCAAAAAGGAACCTGAACCGATTGTCCAAATTATCTTATTAGGCGTGATTTTCAATTACATATTCCCTTTAAACATGCAATATGGTGATCATAATAACAATAGAATAAACATTAATATTGGAAGCAATTTAACCATAATAACGTTAGTCAAATCAAATATAAAATAACCCTAATCATGGTACTAGCAATATTAAAATAAAATAAGAGTAATTAAATTAATTAATTACTCACGTTTCGCGCGTTCCTTTAAATTGCTACATCATGAATAAATTGTTAGTAATTTCAATAAAAAAAAAATATAAAGCAAATTGAAACAATTAAATTAAATAAAAATTAGAGTTGATTTAGTCCAAACCCTCAGTTAATTCTACCTTTTCATACCTTGGTTTCAAGTATAGAATTTTGGGTATTGTATAAACTCCTTGGAGTACTTAAGGGAAGGAATGAAAGAATAGGGAGGCTAGTGTTTAGGCTAAAGAGGGATAAGAGAATTATTTTGTGATCAATCTTGTTGATGTTTGAAAAGGGGGATATATTACCTCTATTTATAGAGAAAAAAGAAGGGTTGAAAAATTAAGATAAGATCCGAATTAAACCGGAATAAAACTCGATAGACAGTAGTTTTTGCGGTTTTGGTTTTTATCATATCTTTTGATCCAGAAATAGGAATAAGATGAACAAGATATTGTTGGAAAGAACTTGAAGTCTACTTTCTAACCCAATTAGAATCAGATTAAAATATTTTGTAGAATAAAAGATATGGACGAAACAGTGAGACGGTGTCAGATTTGGATTGAGTTTGACATTTTATTCATATCTTTTCCGTTATAGTTCGGAATTGATATTATAATATATCATTGGAAAGATAATTTCAAGGGATATCCAACCATATAAAATTTGGATAAAAATTATGATACACGAAAATAATATATGTCTATCTTTGAACATCTTTCAATTCAGATATAAATAGGATTTTCAAAAAAGGGAGTTTTATTCAATTTCAAACTATTTAATCTTATCTTTTCAAAAAGGATAATTAAGATCTTTTAGAAAATTATAGAAGCTTCCTATTAATCCTAATTGTTTTAGGAATGGGATTAAATAATTTTGACCCTCCACATGATCATTGGGTCGTAGGTAAGGTGGGCTTAGGTTTGGTTTGGGCTCGGTTTAATATTTTGGCCATAAGTTATTCGTTATAACTCGGATTTGGGCTTATAATATATCGTTGGAAAGCTCTTTTCAAGACCCATCCAATTATTTAATCATTGGACTTAGATTATGGATCAAAATAAACTGGATTAAACGTTTTTATAAAAAGGACGCGAAATGAATCTATAACCCTTATAAAAGCCCCAAGCACCAAGACTGTAGCAATTTTACTGTTCCTTATGAACAGAGAATTGACGGTTTTGCCCTCCCTGCCCCTTAGCACCCTTCTCTGGTTGACCAAGTTGACCAGGCTATTTCGGTCTTTTTGCTTTGACATTGCATGTTGTCTCAGTGGGCTGACGCGTGGCAATTCCTCTTTCTTTGTCAGTGTTCTGCAGCTTACTCTTTTTCTTTCTTTCCTGCTTTCTTTTCCCATTAGCTAAGTCTTTCTTCCTTTTTGTTTTTCCTTTTTTTTCTTAGTAAATTAATTGTTGATTTTTTAATGTGTGGGTGTTGCAGCGGCTGTGTCAATGGCTTAATTTCAAGGAGTTGGTGGTGGTGTAGTTGCGCGATTTCGAGGAGTTAATGGTGGTGTTGTTGCGCGAATTCGCGGAGCTGATGGTGGTGTATATGCCCAATTTGAAGGACCTGGTGGTGGTATTTTTTTGGATCTGGTTGTTTTGTGCTATGAGGTATTCTCCTCTTGAGTATTTGTCAGTAGGAAATTTGTTAAATCAAAATCAAAATATCAATTCATAAAGACGTGAAAAGTGTTTTTAAGCAAATCTAATTAAAGCATTAGTACCATTTCAATTTACCTGTAGTATCTCATTTTGATTAAAAACATGAGTTAGCTAATTTAAATAAAATTAGAATTAGCATTGTGTAATAAAAATTAATTTCTCATATAAATTTTGTTTAAGGATTTTATAAAGAGATTATGAACGAAATACAGTGATGTCTCTTGTAAATTTGTCTTATTAGTTTATTATTTTTATATAAACTTAGCTTCAGAAAATATTGATAGGGGAAATTGCTTTTGGAGGGTTTGGTGTTGTAATGTGTATCTATGTGAATTTAAAAATTTATAGAGGGGTTTTAGTGTGTACTAAGTTCCATTTTTTCTGAAGAGATAAAAATACCCTTTTTTTTAAGTTATAATAATGATAAAAATAAACTAGAGTATATTTCAGATGTCTTTTTTGGTTGCAGTGTATTATTTAATAATTTTTGTGGAGAAGATATTTCTTTATGATGTACTAGAACAATTTATATGGTCTGGTTTTTTTGGCTAATAAAATATATGGGATATGTCCTTTGCTTTATTCTTTATTATATATGTGTTCTGCATGTTTGGTTTGTTTCAATTTTCTGACTTGCTTCTTCTTTATCTTCTGTCTGAAAGAAAAGGTTTGTATGTGAAACTTTGTTGGGGTAATTGGTTAATTAGATTTTGATAAAAATATAATATCATGGGTTTAATTCCTTATGGATCTCATTTGTACAGACAACTTTGGATATTGACTTAATGAATCTTGAACTTTTATGCACCATAATTTCCTGGACATACATTGATGTACAATTATTTTAATTTACAGTTAAATATTTTTTTATAGGAAAGTAAAATAGAACAATTACTAGAAATTAGTTGTTTATGCATTTGTATTATTTTTGAAGCATTCAATTTGGTTACATAGCTTAATTTTTTTTCCCTTGTGTTTTTTGTTTTTCTTCTTTCTTTTTTTTTGGATAAAAAAAAGGGAAAAAAATAATAATTGTAGGTGTATGCACTTGGAGCTGGCTGTGCTGGTAAAATTAATTGCAGCTACTGGTGGTAAGTTTATTATTATTGATTTAACTTGGAATATTATAAGGTGGCTTGGTTTTCTTACATATGTTACCTTAGTTGTTGCACTTTGATTGTAGTTTAAGTTTAGAGGATGTATATGTTAAATGTTTTTTTTCCCGGTTACAGGTTATGGCTATTCAGTCAAGCAAAATTGCCATTCCATTTCGACCTCTTTTAGGTCAATTGATTGATTGTTTATATTTTCCTAAACCGGTTTATGGTTTCATAGATAGGGATAGGAATAATGCTTGTGTTCGTATTAGGACTGAATGTGGGAAGTCTGAATTTGTATTTTTCGGTGGGGAAGCTAACACAGTTGAGGAGTCCCAAGAGAGAGCAGCTCAAAAAGCTGTGCAGAAATTGATGAACCAGTTTGGGGTGCGGGTGAATGATTTTACATCCGATAGAGCAAGGATGTATCAGCTATGCAGTAAGCTTTTTAAGCATAAGGTGGTTGAGTTATGTAGTGAAAAAGGGATAGTGATGCCTGGTGCACAGAAGGTTTTGGGCAAAAAACCATCTGGTGATGTTGTTCATGTGACGATTGACTTCGTAGGCTTTTTAGAAGCTGTTGTTACAAGGACTGGAGCAAAGGTGAGTCCATTAGAGACTATTTGGGTTGAAAATTTGGGCTTTGTGTCTTGGCTAACAGTGTCTTGCCCACATAATGGAGGTGAAATGGAATGCATATATAGTGATGCTTGTCCTGAGTTAGCTGATGCGAGGCAAAAAGCTGCCAAAAGAACTATTCATTACTTGGTGACTAAGTATAATCTAGAGATCATTGATGCTAATTATGGTGCAATTTCGGAGAAGCGTGTTGCTTGCAGTGCTCTAAAGAGAAGGTTTTACCAATTAAAGGAGCATTTGACTGCCAGAGAGGAAAACTTTGCTACTGATGAATGCTTGACTCCTACTTCTGAGAGGTTTCGAATCCCTGAGATTGGTTTGCCTCCAGCTGCTCCAGTTAAAAGACGTTCAGTTACATCATTAGATGCAGCATCTTCTTCTACTGTTAGAGTTGTTGAACCTTTGGTTTCTGGCATACCTGAATTAGAGACTGTATGGAAGCGGGCAAAGTTTGTTTAGCCTATATGGAGACTTACATTAGTATTTTGGGTAGAAAGTTGTATGCCTGGATATAGGTGTTTAGATTTAGCATTGATATATTCTTATTATCTTTCCTTTTGTCTTAGAGCCTAGGTCTATGAGTAGTAATGGCTAAAATTTTTCATTAGAAAACAGACTTGAAGGCTGTAATTGAAATATAATGTAATGTGTATCTTGAGTAATGAATGGATTAACTTTTTATTGTAGTTCTCATGACTTCTTAATTTAATATTTCTCTTTCATTAATTTTATTGTTAATTGTATGTCTTCTTGATTTTACAATGCTCTTTCATGTTTGGTGTTAAATATGTTCAGTATTTTATCTTTTTGAAGCTACATGGAAAATGTAAATACGGGTTTTAATTATGCATTAGCTTTTCTGTTTGCAGTAAATGATAACTATTTATGTATACTGATATTCAAATTTCGATTGTATAACTTAGTTTATGTATGTATATAAGCATGTGAGGGAATAGGGAGAAAAGGAAATCTTTAAAGTAGGATTAGAGTTAAAGGAAGTAACAAGATGAGATAATGACAAGCTTCAATGGCTTTATAAAATAATAAAAAGCAAGTATTGTTAATGATATGCACATGCTCTTATTAAGGTACAAAATAATGTAGTAGATTAGTAGAATTCATTTATTTTGTTTTGTGGCAGTAAAACAGGAGGATATTGCAATTTCAAATCGAGATCAGTGTAAAATTCAGGAATTATTGTTATAGGCTTAGATCACAGAAGTTTACGCAGAACAAATATTGGAAAATGTAAACATTTGCTTGAGTTGAAGGAGATATGCAAGTTAGTGTATTAGATTGATCAAATTTGTGAGGATTTAAATTGCAGAGCCTTTTAAATTACACCTTGTTTTTTATTAAAAAAACATCTTGTTAACTGCACCTGCTGAGTATTTCTATATATGTTCTTTATACAGTTAATGACATAAACTGAGATCGTTAATAACTTGTGCAAATTGTTGATATGTGCATGCAAATGGTTGACATGACTTGGTCCTGCAGCAAAGTAATATGGGTATATCTGAAAATTTTGCATGATTCTTATGATAAGTCTTTCTATTTATATGCGCATTGCTATGTTCGTTTATGATATTTATTTTATGTTCGAGTTGCTGAGTTATTGTTTTAATTGTTTATATGATAGCTGATGCACCTATTAATTTTAAGAGACCATCATTTCAAGGTCGAAAATCAAAGCGAATGAGTGCTTTGGTATCAACTCATAATTCTACTAGGTAAAATAGATGATTTAAAATAATAAAATTATTATTTTGGTGAACTAAATTCATAGGTTCTTTATTCTTTGTACAGTCAAGCAGAACAACCAAGATCGAAAAAGCCTAAATCAAGACCTTCGAAATATATTGTACTTGAAAGTGGGTCATTTGCCTTACATTGAATTACAAAAGTGAATATATATATATAGTCTTTTTTTATAAGATCTGGTTTAATTTCTTTTTGGTCATGCTACAGAGAGGCCTTCGACTCACAGATCTACACCAACAAATGGCCAAAGTTCAAAACAGCTAAGGGATGCAGCTAAAAGTAAGGTTTAGTAGTAATTTCAGTTTATCTATTTTGCACACATACATAGTTGCACAGTCAAATTATCTCAAATACCCTTTAATGTTATTACAGAAACCCCTGCGGAAACTATAGGAAAACCATTACCTAGGCATCCCCTAGAATTATCTCCACCTACTTACTGTGATAAGTGTGGAGCTAAGAAGTTTGAGTTTGAAACTCTACATTTTTGGTGTGGTAATGGTGATATTAAAATAGCTGAGAATGAATATCCCCCTGAATTAATGAGGCTTTTTACTTCAAGAGATGAAGATGCTCTCCATTTTAGAAAATATGCACAGTTATACAATAACTTATTTGCTTTTAGTTCAATTGGAGGTAAAACTAATAGAGAAACATACAAAGGTATATATGTCTTTAAATTGCATGGCCAAATATATCATTCTGTACCAGACTTATTACCAGATGAGAATGGTCCAAAGTATCTGCAACTTTATTTCTATGATGGGCAAAATGAATTAAAACACATAACAGACTGCTTTCCTGAATTAAGACAAGATGTTATTGACAAATTAATTCAAGTAACTAAAGATAATCCATATGCAAGATTTTTCCGCTCTTTGAAAGAAGTAAATGTTGATGAGCGTACTAACATTATAATAAATTCAAACACTGTACCAGATCAAAGAGTATATAATGCTCCCACTTCAGATGAAGTTGCTGTTATCTGGCCTGATAGTGTTTCGTCAAGTCAGAGTTCATGGCCACATGTTCTTGTAACAACAAAGTCTTCAAAGTCTCATCGGATTTCTCATTTTTATGGGTGCTATGATCCTTTGCAGTATCTCTTGCTATTCCCAAGAGGTGAATGTGGTTGGCATCAGGGTTTAAAGAAAACTTCTTATGGTGGAGGCAGACAAGTGGCAACTGAACCTGATCCGATACAGTCCTGCGCAGTGCACACTCCGGCAAATTTTCTAGATGCAGAAGCTGCTCGTAAGTACTTAAAAGAATAATGGTATTATTTTTAAAGCTGTTTTTATACTTGTGTATCCTTATCGTATGCTTAATTTGAATTTTCTCTGGACTTTAATGTTTGTAGAAGCTTCTGGAAAACATACCAAAGCTGATAAGAATATCTCTGCAAGGGAGTACTATTGTTATAAGCTTCAAATTAGACCAGTAAACATGTTGTTAAGAGCAGGCCGTGCATTTTTGCAGTATATCACAGACATGTATATCAAAGTTGAAAACACAAGGTTAGATTTTTTTCGGCAAAATCAGGATACAATAAGAGCGGATCTTTATAAATGGATTCTAGACACTGTAGAGAGTGGCCAGACAAGTGCAGCTAATGTTGGTCATAAGTTCATTTTGCCACCATCATTTATAGGAGGCCCTCGTGATATGAAAAGGAGATATCTGAATGCAATGGCTCTTATGCAGAAATACGGGAAACCTGATCTCTTTGTCACTATGACCTGCAATGAAAATTGGCCAGAGATAAAAGATGAGCTAGAGCCTGGTGAGACCGCACAAGACCGGCCAGACTTAGTTGCTCGTATATTTCGAGCAAAGTTGATTGCTCTGAAAAACAAAATAAAAAAAGATGAAGTATTTGGTAAAGTGGCAGCAATGATATATGTCATAGAGTTTCAGAAAAGAGGATTGCCACATGCTCATTTCCTATTGATTCTAGAGCAACAGCATAAGATGAAGTGTCCTGCTGATTATGATAAATATGTCTGTGCAAAAATACCTCCTGTTACTCAGCCTGAGCTGCGTAAAATTGTGTTAAGGCATATGATGCATGGACCATGTGGCCGCTTAAATCCAGAGTGCCCTTGTATGAGAAAGAAGGCTAATGTTATTTCTTGTAAAAATGGGTATCCAAAACAATTCACCGTACAAACAACAACAAATAAAGATGGCTATCCTTACTATAAGAGAACTGATACTGGAGAACAATTGAAAGTCAGAAATGCTCAGTTAGATAACCGATGGGTTGTCCCTTATAACCCCTATCTCACAGCACTATTTTATTATCATTTGAACGTAGAAGTTTGTTCAACTATTAAAGTAGTGAAATATTTATATAAGTATGTTTACAAGGGACACGATCGAGTGGCCTTCAATATTCTGGCTGAAGATAAAAATTGTAACGATGAAATTGCTCAGTTTCAGTCGGGGAGGTGGTGTCGCCATGTGAGGCAGCTTGGAGAATTTTTGGATTTGATTTATTTGAGATGCATCCACCAGTATTACCTTTGTCAGTTCATATTCCAGACATGAACACAGTTTGTGTACGCCCTTATGAACGTCTGGATGTTGGTATTGCAAGCGGTGTTTATGGTAGGACTCAATTAACTGAGTTCTTCCGTATGAATGCAGCTACTGATAATGGTCTTGGTTACTCAAATGTAGAATTTCCTGAACACTATAAGTGGGATGCTTCAGCAAAATCATGGCCCAAACGGCAAAATAAAAAATTGATGATAGGGCGATTAGCTTTTGTCGCTCCTTCGGAGGGTGAACGCTTTTACCTTCGGCTTCTATTACTGAATGTCAAAAGTCCAAAATCATTCACAGACTTGCGCACTGTTGAAGGTTATGTGTGTGCAACTTTTAAAGAAGCATGTCTAAGAGCTGGCATTTTGGAAGAGGACGATGCTGTAAGCATTTGTTTAGCAGAAGCAACTAAAATTCAGCTCCCTCGGGCTTTACGTCGACTATTTGCAACTGTTCTTATATTTTGTCAGCCAAGTAACCCTGAAGAATTATGGTTTAAATGTTATTCTGCATTATCAGAATATTTTGCACGCTAATACTCTGGTGTTGAAAACAAAGTTAAAAGATTAACTGTCAGATCAGTAGAGCAGCATTTAGAGGCCATGGGCAAGTCATTATCTGCTTGTGGTCTGGCTGTTTTAATGGAAGACACTGATAACCAGATTGATAGAACAAAAGACATTCAAGATGCTTTAGATGCTCCAATTCCTCAAAATTGTATAGAAAGTCGTGGCTTGCTTAATACGGCACAAAAGGAAATTTTTACTTGTATTATGCAGCATATCGTAGAAGGAAAACTAGGGGAATTTTTTGTAGATGGTCCTGGTGGAACTGGTAAAACGTTCTTATATAATTCATTATATGCTGAGATCCGCCTTATGAATAAGATTGTTTTACCTACTGCTACGTCTGGAATAGCTGCAGCAAATATTCCATCAGGTAGAACAGCACACTCAAGATTCAAAATTCCATTGGACAGTGATGCTTCATTAGCTTGCAGTGTTTCTAAGAAAAGTAGCCTGGCAGCGTTAATAAAAGAAACAACTCTTATAATATGGGATGAAGCATTTATGGCAAACAAGCAAAATCTAGAATCTCTAGACCTTTTATTACAAGACATATGTGATAGTGATGTGATATTTGGTGGGAAGGTAATTGTGTTTGGTGGAGACTTTCGACAAGTGTTGCCTGTTGTTCCTAACAAGACTATTAGAGAAGCAGTGGAAGCAAGTATAGTGAGTTCTTATATATGGCAGCATTTGCGGAGATTCAGGTTAACTGAAAATCTAAGAGCTAGGAAGATCCTTCATTTTCTCACTTTTTACTTGCACTGGGAAACGGTGAACTGCAGACCATGGAAAGTGATTTTGTTGAGTTGCCACCTCAGATAGTGCAGACTTTCCAGCCTGATGCTGATCCAATAGATGAGTTACTCGAATCTTCTTTTCTAGAACTTGGTTCAGGTGCTCTGGACCCTCAAATCTTTTCAAGAAGGGTTGTTCTAACACCTATAAATGACGATGTAGATACTATAAATCCGTTCATGATTGAGAGATTCCCAGGACAAGCCATATCTTATACAAGCTATGACAGTGTCCTAGATGATAGTGGCAGCGTATATCCTACAGAATTCCTGAATAAACTATGTCTAGGTGGAATGAGCCCTCACAATCTTGTGCTCAAAGAAAACTGCCCAGTAATATTGCTTAGAAACCTTCTACCATCTTCTGGTTTTGCAATGGAACGCCGCTTATATGTAAAAGGTTTTTCCCTAATTTAATTGAGTGCGTGATTTCTATCGGACAGTATCAAGGGGAACATGTATTTATACCCAGAATTAAACTCAGACCATCAAGTTCTCAGAAATATCCTTTCCAATTTCAGAGGAACCAGTTTCCTATCAAGCTCAGCTTTGCAATGACTATAAACAAGTCACAGGGGCAAACTTTAGATAAAGTGTTAATATATCTCCCTCGTTCGTGTTTTTCACATGGTCAGTTATATGTGGCTCTCTCACGTGCACGGTCTGCAGATAAGTGAAAGTTGTATCAGTGGCTCCTACTTTACAGCATTCAGAAAACTCTGTTAAAAATGTCGTATCTTATGCTGTCCTAAAGCTAGCAGGAGTAATTTAGGTGATTATACATTGACTAAGCTTACTAAGTTGATTTTTCGAAATATATAATGGCAGTCCTAATTTTCGTGTTTTACTCTTATTTTGCAGGAGTAATCTAGGTGCTGTTAGATCATTCCTAAAATAAGCTAAGTCATGTGCAATCACTTTAGTAGTGGTCCAATGTTGAATTCCAAGTATGCCTTTTCTTTCACCTATTTGCTTGATACTAATATACTCTATTTTGCTGCAATCCATTTTAATGTGAATATACTAATTCATATATGCATTAACTATGGGTGATATTTAATGACAATAATGGTTGGTTAGTGATTATGGGTCATATCTTTCTTGTTTTAGATTGCTACTGTATATTACGTGTGTGTGTGATTGTTTTAACAGGGCTTTATGACTACTGTAATAAGTTAATATGCTAATTGATTCCAATTATGCATTCTGAACTTTAATACATGTGATTTTTTTCAATGAATTCTTGTATGTGCTTTATTCTATAGCGTATGAGCAAAGATTACTTTTAGTAAATGTAGACACTTACTTTATTACTCTAGATCATAACTTGTTTTAAAATAGGTGTTTTGTATTAATGAGTTGTTGTGTGGAGAGTAATAAGTGTTTAATTTTGAGTAAATTGCTATTTGGGTTTTCTGGCTTTGACATCACAAGGAAGGAGTGAACAGAAAATCTGTCTGGACTTTATTACATGTCTACTGGAAGAAAAAACCTAACTCAGGATTTATTGATTGATGTTCAATTACAAATCTTCAGATGAACTAAATGTTATGCCATATACTGTAATTTCGGGTCCTTCAACGGTTCAGAAGATTCCTCCGGAGCAATTTTGCTGGCATGGTTTTGTGATAACTAAAGCATTAGCCCTTGGGTTTAGAAAAGAAGTGTATAAGCATCTTGTTAATTGTTTCTTGATCATCAGGCAAACCATGCATAAATTGGTTTTCTGTCAAGCTTTCGCCTTACATATTTTCATGTAGCATACACTTATAGTGGACACAATACTTTTAATTATAATTCTCCTTTGATTATAACTGATATTGTTTAGAGCAATTAGAATGATTGATGGTTGAAATTAAACTATGTTTGCTTCACTATTTAACATTATTGGTTGTAAGAGCAATTAGAATAATTAATGGTTGGTTCTGATTTATTTATTTAGTTAAAGATCTAATGTGATTTCAAACCCTTGATTTCTTTTGCTCTATTTTGTCGTGCAAGAAGATACCCTTATTGTTAGGCTTCATGGATCAACGTCAATCTGCAAATGACATAAGCAGGTCAGTGGTTTTAATGATTTTTCAAAGGTCGCTGCTCTTATTCCCTTAATACATCATTATTATTCATGATTATTCTTTTTTTCTTTTTATTTATTTTTCGGTTTTTTATTCTTGAATAAGTTAATTCATAATGCTATTTTAATTGTTAGTTGGTGCTTTATTTCTATTTTTATAGAATTAATGGTCATATGGCTTTCAACTAAAATATCTGGTTTTGATTAGTTGGAACTCTGGTCTCACTCTTTCAGTGTAATACTAAGGCAACAATTGCAGCTCATTGCATCAAGCGGATAAAGGACAATTATGAATTCAAATTCAACAGATAGCTTAGGTAGAATCTAAAAGTTTAAATCTATTGAATTTATTTTAGACTTACTGAACTTGTGCTGTAATGCTTGGGTAGAGTGATCAATGGTGTGCTTATTCATAGTACTGGTATGTTTGCTTGTAGATTGCTGGAATAGTTTGAAGAGCGGAACAAAAGAAGAGAGTATATATTTTTTCAGATTTCTGAGCTCTGGAACCATTGAAGCCCTTAAGAAATGTGACGCTGATAGCATCATGTGGTCTACAAGTTCGTAAATCTATGGATTCGTATATTTGAATTTATTCAATGAATTCAATGACATATTGACATGGAGTATTTTATATTCAACTTTAGTTCCCTAAGAGTTTATATTTCTGCATGGATTTTAAACTGGAGTATTTGCTTGTAGGTAGTATTAGACAATGGCATTGCTCGAGTGACAATATCTAAACCACGAGAGATTGTTACTGGACTAGCTTATAATGGCATTGACAATTTGCTTGAATCTCGAAATCTTGAGGACCATAGAAGGTAAACATTCTATATTTAACAGATTTGTACAGTCATTTTTCTTAATGAAATCAATACTTCAATCAGTCTCTATATACAATCTAGAAACAAAATTCAAGATAACGAAAGAAAAGTTGATCAACACATGTGGAATTTTTAATTTTTTCTGCTTGTTTAATGATATATTTAACTGTGAAATGTATGCACGTATTGGGAACTTGTTTAGAATGATGCTAATACACCAGGGAAATTTGACATGTTTGTTCTTCTTGCCTTTTTGTTTCTTAGTTTACCAAAATTAAATGGATAAACTTGTAAATTTTAGGCTTTGTTTTACAGATTTGACTAAGGCTATTTGCTAACTGTATGCAAGATTAAAGCAACAACTTTTCAGGTGATTATGTTACATGATGATCAGGTGGAAGATTTCTTTTGTAGACAGTGGGATCCTTCACTCAAGGGCAAGTTATTCCCATTGAATATTGATAAAAGGTAGTTGCTTTAATCTTCACCATATTATATAAACTTCTACTTTTTATAGAGCACACTTCCTCCTTTATATATTAGTACCCCTCTCTCTTGAAATAGTTGTCATGTTAATAATGTAATTAAATCCAATAATTGTTAAACTTTTAGGTCTATAATGCTTCGTGGCTCATCCAGGTCATATACCTATGAAATCTATGAGCATATGAAAGATTGACCGGGCTTCAGCTTGGGTGAAACTAAGGTCACATTCAAGCTCAATAAACGGTGGTATAAAGAAACTGATTTCTTTGGACAGGTTTCACGGCAAACCAAATTAATTAGAAGAAATTTAGGCAACAAAGCATGATATGTTTAGTCCTGAGGCTGTTCTGTTGACAAGCCCTGTTAAACCAAACATTAAAGGAGAGGTATCATAATTTCTTATCTCATGTAGATAAAAGTTGATTATGCATTGGTTTTAAGTATTTTTATGATTTGTTCGATCATGTTTAGTGAATATATGAATTGTTATATTATATAGGTTGATGACAAATATCAGTATTCATGTGACAACAAAGAGATAAAAAACCATATACGCTTAAATTACAGCCTACTAAAGTGAACTATTTAAATTAACTTTCTATCATAAAATAAAAGTTAATATTAAAAGCTGTACAATATTTCACATTTCTATATATATATATATATATATATATATATATATATATATATATATATATATATATATATATATATATATATATATATATATATATATATATAGGTCTGCTATGATTATGACTTGTTGTAAAGCCACTCCCTTAAAAAAAGGAAAATTGTTTTCTGGGATATGGTTATCCATATATAAAAGCAAGATATTATTATTCTATTACTTATAAAAACAATAAACTTTTACAGGCTTTATAAAGTATTATAAAAGTACAGTGAGCAGCTGAAAATCTTTACCTAAAGTATGGAATGAACAGTGTTAACAGTAAAGAAGAAAAAACTTACATTGCTTATTCTGAACTTATTACCAGAACCTTCCCCAATTACTGTATTCTAGCTATTTCCTATTTTTTAAATTTGTACTAACTCATATAAAAAGTGTTTCATCTTTGGCATTTCGTTTTTTTTCACAGAAGAATCAACCAAAGTAGCAGTGACGACTTACTCAGCCATGGCAGGTATGGTCCCTTCTTTTATAGATTGCTTCCATTATCCTTTAGCTCAATTATTGTTAATGTTTTTCCTATATAAATTCCTTATTGTGTACTTGATTAACTAATATTTAATATTAAATGTTATAACATTTTACATTATCATGTATAACTACTGCTATACAAAATAACATGAAAGCATTTGTATACATAGATCAAAAATGCAAAACAGCTAGACAGAAGCCAGAGTATGTGTACTTGAATCAGTTAAATGCAGCATGCAAGACTTATATAGTAAGAGTAGTTGCTGAAAAAGGAAGGGACACACTATCCTCCAAAAAAACAGTTAGATTCCAAACTTTACTTCTAAAGGATGAAAAGGTATGCATTCATTACTTTATACATGTAAATATCACACTAACTTTATTACAATTATGATGCAACTGAGAGAATATTCCTAACAGTAATCTAAATCATATCAAGCATTTAGGTAGGCTTAAAGAGTTATGGTAGGCTATACAGAAATTACATTAACTACTCTTGTAATAATCATGCTTATGCTATAATCATGCTTTTATTTATGTTATAATTTTAATCAGCTAAAGGTTCAGTTAAATATAGTACACATGAAGCTAGAATATAATGCAATCCTAATTATGTTAAATGTTCATGATTCAAGTGAAATATAAAGTATATAGCTTATTATAGTTAAATCTTTTGAGTAACCTTTTTATTCTTTTATAATATAAATTACATCAGTGTTAAAATCACTTTATTTTAGCAAAAATAATGTTAAATAAAGCACGTATTTTGTGGCACTTTAATTAAATCTCAAACAAAAGATGCCTTATTCTACAAATCTAATAGCAAATTATATATAATTAATAAGTTTAAGGGACCTTATAATATAGTTATAAATCTCACCTTGTTTCACTATCATTTTCTGCTTTATAGGGTAATAGGATGCGTGGTTCTTTATTTGGCGATCAAATTGAAGCATTTGAAGAAGCATTACAGTACCTAGGTGAATACGAAATTTCTGCTGCACCTATTAAATTCATTGACGAAAAATGGAGAACTGAGCTTGATCAGTTTCCGTACCAAATGGCTTTTGGTAGTAGAACTGTGATCCAGCCAGTTCATCCAGAGCTCAGACCAATTATGCCTAACTATCAACCCATTGCAAGTATACCTCGTACAGTTGATCCTGATGAGAAATACGGTATATTGCACTCACATAACAGTTTCACATAAAAAAAAACAATTAAAAAACACTAACAAACTTATCTGAATTCACAGATATCGTGGGTGTGGTGTTATATGTTGAAGAAGAGCCAAGGAAAATTGAAGCCAGAGATGGAAAGCGAGAGAGCTTCGTACGAGAAGTAGTCGTTACTGATGAAAGGTTAAAATCAGTTCACCTAAATGTTCAGGATTAGTAAAAATAATATTTAATATATATTACAATTTGGAATCACTAACAATAAGTATTTCATGTAGCAGTTGCGATCAACCGCTCACCATCTCATTGTGGAATGATCTAACAGCACCCAAATTCTTCGACAAATTACCTAATTGGGCAGAAGCATTCCAGGTTATAGGTTTTAGAGCTCTTAAACCATATACTCGCCGTGGTAAGGCAAAAACTATTGTACTTTAGATCCCAGGTGATTTTTTACTATGACAAAATTAACACTATCTGTTTTATTTAGGTTTTTCAATGAATTTTGGTATGTCTACTCAAATAATCTATAAACCTGAAGGGGATCGAGCGCGTGAGCTGTCTAACTGGTAATCACTAAAACTTAGCCTAGCAAAAACAACAACCATTATAGTATGCTGATCATCTCTATAATGAATAATGTGTAGGGCTAACCTCTTCCACCAGAAGATATTAGATAGACAAACTAGAGTATTAGAGGTTAAGTACCTAGGTGAAAACAAAAAAATTGTTTCCATTGCTGAACTGAGACGGAAAAAGGTGAACTATAATTCATTACAGCCTCTTCCAAGGTTTACAACTTACTAAAAATTAAGTGTGCATGCTCTAACTGATATTTTGTGAATTATAATACATGTGTAGCCAAGCAACACCATACAGGAAGAACTTCTATGGATAGAGGTAACCATTTAGAATGCAGAATTAGAAAAAGTGCACGCGTACACAGGCTGTTCAAACTGCTGGAAAAGAACCAACCTTCCATTGCAGAAGCGTTATTCTTGCACTTCTTGTTATAAGAAAGAATGCATATGCACTGAGAGGTATAACACTAGCTCTTTTTAAACACCAACCTTTTTTGTTAATATTGTACCTAACAAAAATTCCTGTGAATTCATGCCAGGACAACCTTTAAGTTTGAGGCTAGCGATGGCACAGGCACTATGGCATTCACCACTTTTAACGATGACACAGAAAGACTGTTTAGGAGAAGTGCAGCTGAAATTTATGCCATAAAAGAAGCGGTAAATTACAATTACCATGTACCTACCTTTTAATTTTTGAAACAGTTTATATATGCCATGTAAATTTCCAAAGAATACTTGAAAGTTCTTATTTCATAAAATTAAAATTATAAGTAAAAAAATTAATAAGATTAAATAAGCTTAAGATACATCTAGAATATAGATTTTCCAATAGACAATCACCCATGAGATGTTTAAAGGTCAGTAGACTTGAAAAAGTCAAACACTCTTATCTTATGCCTTAGAAACCAAGAACACAAAAAAACCATTATTAGCAAAATTGTCAACGGTTAAAATGCCATGCCTCAATTGACAATGAATTGTTGAGTAATGTTGCTAATCAGTCCCGCATAGAAAGATTTATAAATAAAAAAGAAAGGTAAAAAGGCAGAAAAGAAATATAGTCATCTAATTAGATAATATTAGTGTAATACACAGTCAAAGTTATATATTATAATATTTACAAATTTTGATATAATACTAATACTTGCCATGATGATAAATACAATGCAGGATGACCACAATGCATTCGAGGCTATTCAAGACATGCTTAGTAGCAAACCGTTCTACATTAAAGTAGGACCTACATCACATTTAGGCCAGAACAATGTTCTAGAATGGACTCTCAAGGGTATAGAACTTAAGGAAGAACCTGAGACACTAGAAGTTTTGCAACCATTTGAAGGCACCTCCAACCAAGCAAAAGATGCAAATGAAAAGGAAAAACAGCAATCTATGGAACAAGGGAATCTAGAACCAGTCATTTCAAACCCCAAACATGAAGGGTTCTTCAGAAAAAACATACACAAGATAGCTCTTTCACTCAAACACTGGAGTTAACTCAGGGAGATATCGAATCGCTTAAGCGAAAGAAAGCTTTAGGGAAAACTCCTGTCCAATTCCAAGATGAGGAAACAGAATACGAGCCACCGCTATCACAATTCCGTGCAAAAAAGAAACTTTTCTTCGGCGGAATGACTCCAGAGAAGAACAAGACAGCCCAAGAACCAGAGATATCACCAAGAAAGGATCAAGATCAAGATGAAATTGTCCCCTGAAAACTGACAAGAAGGAAGCCAAACCTGTAACTGTGAAGTCTGAGAAGCCGAAATAATCTTCCATAAATCTGCCACGACAAATGATAAGGTGGTGAACTACAAAAATATACATAATAGCCTAATGGAGTACTGCAGAACAACAATCTAAGGTGCACTACCTGCACATCATCTAAGTATTAAATATTTTGCTAAATTACAAATATATGGACAACTATAAGAAATTCTCTTTTGCTCAGAATGCTAAGCACAATAGATAGTTTCCCATGTATTTACATAAAACTCCAGCATCGTGTAGTAATTAATCTTCAACTTACTTTCAAAATTTCATGTATATAGAAGTAAGATGCTGTAGGAGTTGCTCTTTTGAGGGTTTCCCAGGAACAGTAACAACAGTTAGTGTTCCTGGCAAACACCATAATTAGATCAAGGTCTAATGTATTGCTATATTACAAGAGATGTTAAATTATATCTATAAAAATATAGTAGTTTATATATGTGGCTTATTTGAAATTTATTATTATACTGTTTTTTTAAAGAACTAAGTGAAATTATAAAAAAAAAAGGGATCATGATAAAGAAAATAATCATCTTATGAGAATTCATACTTAATTTATAAAACATCAATACATATAAATCGCATAAGCTATAAAGTTCAACAATAAAAAGAAAGAAAGGAAAAATTCACAAATAAAAAGAAAACACATAAAATTTGTTATTAAAAATATAAAAACCTAGACTAATGTGTAGAATTAAAAAATAAACAAAGCTAATATGCTGATATTGTTAAAGCAAACAAAAAAATAAGAGTTGATATGCTATAAAGGTTTCAATAACATGACTAAAGCTGAAACAACAAACATAAATTGTCATACACTAATCTTTTTATTAGGGAAGTTAAAATAACCTTCTGCATAGATTATTATCATAAAAAACATTACATTTTAGAATATCTCAAATCTTCATTTATTATTACAACTCCATTTCTCAAGCGTTGCAATAACCTATCACTAAAACAACATCTAAAGAAACACAATCTCAAGCACAATCGATCATTGCTCTGCAAAAAAACAATTCCGATTTTCCCATATTCTAACTGACCATCTACAATCACTTGCGAAATTCCACCCATTAACCTACTATGAATTTTTCCATTCAATCGGGAACAAATTTCGACAAAAATCCCATCTTCTATTTCCAAATCGCATTTGAATTACAGTCCGCATATTGACATGATGAAACACTTGATTACCAAAGGCTACTGGAATTTCCTGCGAATGAACACATAAAATGCATTAGATACAATAAGATCACTTATTTAAAATTTTATATTCATAACTTAAATAAATAGAAAAAGACACTAACCAAAGTATCTTCTTCATAGCATGTTGGTGTAATTACCCAAGGGAACCATGGCTGATTCCCAATTCCTAGGGCAACAAGAAAATCATCACTAGAAGAACCATTTCCACCACTTGACATAGACCTATGTAGAGGTTCTAGAGAACCAAACCTTTCCACCATTGACGATGAAAAAATTCTTACATAAAATCTCCTATTCCCACCATAATATACAATAACA